TGACAGCTGAAACAGCTTGCCCTTGCTAATACCAATGATGATTTCAGGCTTGCTTCAGAAAAAAGTTTGCAAGAGAGAAAAAGACCAAGTAGTAAATTGTCCAAAGATTAGATACCATTGTCATACCTTGCTACTCCTAACTACCCTGTTCTGGTCTTGCCCCCACAGGGCACTTCAAACCATCGGCTTGTTGCCCAAAACCCTCGGAATTCATATTGTTTGTAGAGAACTTCTTGCAACCCTTTTATTGGATAGGAATGAGTCAGCAATTCAGTTGCCAACAACAGAGGCCAACTTTGGCTAATTGAGCATGAAGAGAACTCACTGGAGGGGCAGGCACCTGCCCCACAGACCAAGAAGAAACTGTTGCTGGTGGCTAAGTAGCAGAGTATCATAGCCAAGTAGGGGCAGCATGCCCCTGGCAGCCTTTAGGATGCTGCCCTCATAATCACACTTGTTCCAGATGCAAAGTGCCAGAAAGAGCGGCAGCTCGGCCCTGTCCTCAGCTGCACCATGGGCAGGGGAGAGTTTCACAGGCAGAAGGGACACTGGGAATCAAGCATATGAGGAGAGCTGTGCATGGAAACCGCAGGCTGGATGCCAGATGATGCATAGCCCACTCTTTGAATAAGCCAAGACACCTGGAGGTGTTAGAAGAAGAAAAAAATCTAAGTGTACTGAATTAGCCAACATGTCTCAAACCTTCCTGCTTGTGATTATTTGCTGTTGGAGAAATATTTACACAACCCAGGGCACACAAGTACATAATATATGTGTGCAAATCATTTATTGGCAATATATCATAGAGATTTAAAACAACTTTTGACACACATTAGCTATTTTAAAAAAGCAAACTTGCATACTAAGAAGTGTGCTCATTTGATTTTACACAAGGAATTAAATCTTGGCTCAACATCTGATCCTGGAGTTTATAGAACATCTTCAACTTTTTTTCAGTTGACTGATATTGTGATTTTATAATCAGTGCTGTGCCAAGGGCACTGCCTGAAATAAATACATAGTAAAAAAAGGGCAGAAGCTTATTTGGGGTCATTTTAGAAATTGTTGGAAATTCTGTTATAATCCCATGCCAAAATATGTGTGTGTGCGTGTGTGCACGTGAGTGCGTGCGTGCGTGCGTGTGTGTGCGTGTGTGTGTGTGTGTGTGTGCAACTCAAACAGTAATTTCTCTCTACCTCTCTTTGCCTTTCCTATGTCTGGTTATTTGTTTCCCCTTTAGCATATTCTGCATGCTCCTAGTTTTTCTTAGCATGCTGTTTCTTCAGAGCAACGTGCTGGTGTTTGTGCTGCAGGACACATGGAGTAACAAGAGGCTTAAAGGGTACTTTTGTCCTGGGCTTCATACTTTCATTGTTTAAGACTTTCAGCCAACATCTTGGTGGATGTTTTATTGTTGTGAATAGAACACCATGACCACGGCAACTCTTATAAGGAAAACATTTAATTGGGGTGCCTTGCTTAAGAGTTCCAGAGGTTCAGTTCATTATCATCATGGGAGGGAGCATGGTGGCATGCAGGCAGACAAGATGTTGGCTACATTGTGATCAGAAGGCAACAGGAAATGGACTGAGACACTGGGCAGTATCCTGAGTATAGGAAAGAAACCTCAAAGCCCACCCCCACAGTGACACACTTCTTTCAACAAGGCCATATCTACTCTCACAAAGCCACACATTTTAATAGTGCCACTCCCTATGAGATTACAGGGGCCATTATATTCAAACTACCAGAGTGGACATCCTTTTCTTTAGAGAGACTGAAAGGCTTTTAGATTCTGTGAGCTTATTTTGGGCCCCAATTGCTGAGGCTCAGTAGAAATCTGTCCCTCCAGGATTTCTCTCTCTTTCTCTCTCTCTCTCTCTCTCTCTCTCTCTCTCTCTCTCTCTCTCTCTGTGTCTCTGTGTGTCTCTCTGTGTCTCTCTGTGTCTCTCTGTCTCTCTCCTCTCTCCTCTCTCTCTGTCTCTGTCTCTCTCTCCTCTCTGTCTCTCTCTTTATAATAACCAGGTTCAGAATTCTCAGTGTATCCCAGAACACACTTAGGCTTCCTCTCTCCAGTTCCCCTTGCTTTTAACGAGAACGCCCCTTACTCAACAGCAGGCACACTCTGCCATGAGTCATGACACCTTGCTTCATGGGAAAGCAATGTTTGTTGTTCCCACCACTGATTCCTATCACATGACCTTTCCACTCTTCATCCAGAGCACCAGCAGCTACTTCTGTGGCCATGCGCTTTTCATAGAAAGTACAAAGCCTGCGTTCATCACCCACTTCAATGACTTTCTGACAGCTGATGGCTGGGAAGGAGATTCGGCTTCATCTTAACACGGCTGACTGCCTAGGAGGCGCCATGAAAAAGATCTCAAATGGCAGCTCTTCAAATCAAACATTCTGACATAATCCCTCCCAAAGATATACTCACAATACATGTTGAGGGATAAAGGTGAGGAAATACTAAACTCCTTTATATTTTGTGATAAAGCCATCATGAGCAAAATTACCAAGGGCAATAAAAACTGCATCAGTAACATCCAGTAGTCTTGGATATGAGCTGACATAGCATTTGGTCACAGCACAGCATGACATAACCATGTGCAACCAAAGCTGCAGGAAAATCCTAAGACCCAACATAGTTGAGCAGCTCCAAGACATCCCCAACTCATTATGTATTTCATTTTGGTTTCATTTTTGGTCACTGAGTATTCAGAAAGCTTTCACTGTTGTCAAAGTCTCATGACCACAGGACTCCAGGCTTAGAAACCATGTAGGAAACCACTTATAATGAATTGTGGACAAAAGCCACACCCCTTGGAAAGCAGGTAGGAGAAATGGCAAATTGCCCCTAAGTTATTGTAGAACCATAGTCCCAAGTGAGACTCCTGAAGAGCTTCTAGAGATGCACATGGAACAGAAAGTTGTGGGCAGGCACTGGAAACAAAACTAGTGACTGATATGAACGGAAAGATCGATGGGAGAGAGAAGAGCCGAGAAGCAGCATGGTGTGTGAGAGGGTTAGCATGCACTGGGTCACTTCAGCTAAGACAGAAGCAGCGCCATGGGGTATAGGAAGAGACTCACACTGCTCATCACCAAGAAGCAATTCCAGGTTGGTTAAGAAGAAAAACCAAACAGATGTTGTCACAAGGAAGACAAAATATAGAAATTAAAGCAAGAGGGTTAAAGCTGGTAACTTACGCTTGTATGAGAATGGTCACAGAAACTTCACTCATTGTCACTTCTGATGGTCAAAGTTCAGGTGTCCATTAGATAGTGGATTAGCAACTATCAGTCCTTATGACACATATCTCCAGAATGTGCCTTGACCAAAAGCAATCAGACACAAGTTATTCTATTCATATGAAGTTGAGAAACAGGCAGAAGTTAAGTTACAGTGCAGAAAAAACAACAAAGACCATGCCTGGGGGCAGGGGGAATGGGGGTGGGTGACATCAGTGCTTGGGAAGGAGCTTCCTGAAGGGGCGGTAATGCTATTTTGATAGGCCTGTGGGGTAATAGTTGTTACTGTAACCAAACCTTAGTAAATGCATGCATTTGTGTTTTATTCCTCTCTCTCTCTCTGTCTCTCTCTGTCTCTCTCTCTGTCTCTCTCTCTGTGTGTGTGTGTGTGTGTGTGTGTTTGGGGGAGGGGAAGCCCGAGGCCAGAGAGAGCATTCGATTTCTGTAAATGGATTTATGGATGGTTGTAATCATAGGTGCTCGGAAACAAACTAGGGCCCTCTGCAGGAACAGGATCTCAACTGCTGGACCATATCCTTAGCCCCAAATCTGGTGCTTTATTGTATGTAAATTTTATCTTGAATGATAACTATAAAAAATGAGTGGCATGTATGCTGAATATTTAGGAGCAAGTTTACTGATGACTATGACTATTTTGAAATATGCAAAAATAAAAAAATTGTCAGTAGATGCTTGCATAGTAACACAGCAAAATGTTTCAAATCAGAGCTAGGATGTTATCGAGTATCAAGCTCTCATGAGCTTGAAATTTTTCACACTGAAATTCAGGGAGAAAAGCAGCAACAGGCTGAAGAATTATTATGCATAACATGTTGATCATCAATAGGACAATGAAACAAATGACTAAAAATAAGCACGCTGCCTTCATACAAAATGGCAATGCCAACAGGGCCTGGTGTCATCAGAGCTGTGAACAGAATGGTCTAATTTAAACGAGGAAGGCCATTGTCTCCTCATACACCAGACAGGTACCAGCATGTCACTGAGCTTCTGAGGGTGAGCACTTTTGGTGGTTACTACTGGTGAGCCCTGCCCCAGAGCACTGTTCTCAGTATCCAGTGCAGTAGTCAGGGTGAAATGGAATTATTCTAGAAAGATCTATGATCAGTTGCTAGGTAATGGATGCAGTTACCAGCATTTATGCAAAATGCCCACACCCACAGCACAGGAAAAGGGCTCTGGAAAAATGCAGGCTCCTATCTGCAAGAGGATCGAGGGTGGTAGCCCAAACAATCTGCTTTTCAATAGGTTGATGAAGTTTTACAAAGCCCCATTTATGAGCTGCTTGCTTAACAGCATGAATGGATCCCTGGTTGGAAACTGCTGAGTACCAAATTTCAGAACGAAATAGGCAAATCCTGAACTCATTCACATGGACCTTACAACTTGTATTCCCACAACAACACTTCAGTGTCTCTTGCTCCCTCCTAATTGAGTCTACCCCCAGTGGATACCCCAAGATCACAGAGATTAATGAGCAGTTCTTTGTGAGGTGGCCAGAGAACAGTCCACTCACGATCTACCTCTTTCTCCCAAGTACTGAGTCATGGCTGACTCATGGGCAGGATGTTCCACCTGCTTTTAACTATACTACAAGACTCGTTTTCAAGCAATATCTACACACAACTATTGTGTTCTGACCAACAGGAGTCCGATGTGTATTTCTAAACTTACCGTTAGTTGTTGGCTAGTTTTTAAGAAAACAAATCAAACAGTTCACGAAAGCTAGTTGCAAGTTTTATTTATATAAAATTCATTAGGAACATAAAAGATTGAGTTTCTTAAAAAAAATCTGCGTTATTTACAGCAGTATTGCACAAGTACAGTGGCAATTACCCTGTCAAAATTCATCAGTGCAAAACATAAAGGAAGCCAGGGAAACTGCAATACAAATGCTACATACGCTGGGTCCTTGGACACGTTAGTGATGGGGCACTATACACAGAGATCAGTGCTACTTATTAAAGGGTACCTGACAGGTTTGGATACAGTAACCAGTGGTCAAAGAACCTAGACATTAAAACCTATTTGAACTATTAAATTTCAAATTCCCAAATAAAAGCAGTCAAGTACTTTGCTGGGAGCTTGAGGATGCTCTGCACAATGCTGTTTGGGAGGGATTCCCCGCTAATTTAGCAACACATGTGGACACAACCCGCACACGCGCCGTACCGAGCTGACACACACAGGCACGAGGCTAAATCAGCAGGGAGGACAGAGCCATCTACATTAAGTCACATGCCTCTAGAACCTCCGTGAGTCTTTTCATCTTGAAAACCCAGGCCAGTGGGGACTCTGACCTCTTCTTGAGGGATAAGAAGAGTTGGAGAAAGGGCATGGCCCTGCAGAAGCAGGCTGGACTAATGCAGTGACCCAGAGAGGGAGCCGAGTGGCTGAGCTCCTCACTTCAGGCTATATACCTCAACCTAGGAACCACACAGCAGGTAGGGACTGTAGCCAGCAAGTGTCCTGGTGAGACAGGTGGTCTTGGCAATGCCCCATTGGTCCTCCTCCTACCCAGGACAGCCACACAGCAGCACCTCAAGAGGTGGCAGGATTGTATTTCTCTCAACACTGAGTTATCAAAGATACTCTTTTAATGGAGGAAAAAGAATCCTTCCCCATCTGCTGATAATACTTCTCTAGATATGGTCAACTCACTGGTAAATCTGTTTTTCTCAGGAGCCAGCTGCTTTACAACAAATTAATTTGATGGGGGTATTTTTTTTAGAGTCCAGTCTTCCAGCCTACCACATCTAGGGTATCTCACGGGCAGCAAAATACTAATTTCATCAGAAAGAATCAAATAAATGAATACCAGGAGGCAAAGCGGGAGCCACCTTGGGAAAGCAGACTCAGTCACCACTCCCCACACCTCAGGAGCTGAAGTAATGCATGGGATGGCAGGGGTATGGGGGACAGGGATGTCAACACTTTCAAGAACTTAAGACATTAAATAAGCAGAAAATAAATATACAACATTTCTACAAGTTACAGCATTATGAAACAGTAGGGCACATTACACAGAAAAAGAACCTACGATATTTACAATCCTTAATTCTGAGAAGTTTAGAAAAACAGTGATTTTTTTTACACTCATTTATGCCGTACAAAATTTTACAAAGAAAGGTAAAGGAAACACAATTGCACACAGACATTTGGCTCAGTTGATGAATAAAACACGACTTCCTAATCTAATAAATAGTCAAAATATATACAACACTAAGAGGAAACAGGAGAGGTTGTGTACATTATCCATTATATACTTTAGTGAAAAGAGATTTTAAACTGATTTTTTTAGCCCCTCCCCGCCCCCCTCCCCAATCCATCAAATTCTTTCTGGAAAGGAAATCTGAAGAATTACTCAGGAAGTCATTTTGTGTGTTTATTGCATCTTGGGGTGAAGTCACAGGACTTCACTTTTTTACAGACCTCACATGGGGAGGCTGTCAAGGCACAAAACCCGCATTGTATTCACACGCGCGCGCGCGCGCACACACACACACACACACACACACACACACACACACACACACACGGAGTTTCTGCTCTACCACAAAAAAAAGAGAGAGATAACAATAATAAAATAAAAATTAAGTACAAGGGTCTACCCACAGTGGGCAGACATACTTTCTTATTTGCATTTTAATAAACAGATACAGTACAGGGACATACAGTCATGTTTAAGTTCCTGGTGCCACATCCTGGTTTTGAATACTTCTACAATTCATAGAACCTTTTATTTCCCCATGAGCTGCTTTCATAGCCAGCCCCAGGCTGGAGGCCAATGGGCCAGAGGTAAGCCTGCTTGAAGGGCCACACATGCCACTGGCACCTGGCTCTGGGAGCCTTCCGCACCTGCCAAAGAGGTACCACAGAGCTGAGACAGCAAAGTGCTCTAGTTGGAGACTGGCCCATGAGCACAGAGGTCCTAGGAGTGGGGTGGCCCAGAACCACATGTCTTTGGTGTGTGTGTGTGTGTGTGTGTGTGTGTGTGTGTGTGTGTGTGTGTGTGTGTGTAGCAAAACCATGCTGCACTCTTAATATCACCTTGTAACAGTGGGCCATATGGGAACCCTCAATAGGCTCAACATATCAGCAAACAAGGTGAGCGCCAACACAGCTTTCAAACAATAATCTAAGGAAGCTGGAAAGAAGTGGTTTTAAAAGGAAGAATATTTGGAATCTAGTGATCTCAATCTAGAAGGAAAAGCATATAGACAATATATATATATATACATATATATAAACACACAAACACACACACACACACACACACACACACACACAGAGGAACGTAGGAATGAATGGATTTCTCTACTTAATAATGTAAAAACACTGGCCCTCTACCGGGCAAAAGCAAACAGTTGTTGGCACTGCTGAACTTGCTTGGAAACGCATGTGCTTCTCTAAGCAAGCTGCCTGATGATTGAAGTTTTCACAAGTTAGAGGGCTCACAGCCCCCCCCCACCCCTCTGATGTTCTTTCCTGTCCTTCTTGTGTCTTCCCTGGTTGTCTGCCTACATGTGTGCTGTTTGTTTTGGGAGGAGATGGGAATGGAGCCCAGGGCCTTGCACATGATAGGGAATTGGTCCTTCACCAGGCTACACACCTCCAGTCCTGCCTGCCCTTGAAATGGCTGACCAATGAGTGGGCTTCTGGTGCCCACGGCCCCAAGGGGTAGGTACCAAGAAAGAGCACCCCCCACCCCAGACACAGGTGGCCCACCAAGATTCAACTGTTTAAAAAAATGGAGAACAAAGTAGTCAATCATCTTTTGGAAGACCAAAAAGGATGCTTCATTTGATGTAATGGAGGTTTCCTATGTATGGTCACTGGTGAGGCAGAGCCAGTCTCTATTTCAAGGGAGGTTCAAAAGAATGGGGATGACGTTCAGGTATCATGGGCCAGGTGGGATGCGCAGGGCTAAATGCCAAGAAGCATGCCAAGGAAAATGACTACTTGAGCCCCTTGCTCCCCAAGTGAACTGGTCAATCCCCAAGAAAAGTATGGGCTCTGGCCCATCTGATACATGCAGCAAGGCAGAGCCCATGACTGTAGCAAAGCCTGCAACCAAAAGAGTTAACAGCTTCAGTAAACATTGTGAGTCTGCAGTCTCTCCAGATGTAAGAGACAAACAAACCCACCACAGTGAAGTGAGGTGGACAAAAGCCCTTCCCGTGAGTCAGCTTGATTGATGGGGCTGGGAACAATCCCGGCAACCCCTAGCCCTTGCTGACCCAAACACATTGCATCATGAGAATACCCTGGGCCAAACCTGTGCATCAGTGTGGAGACAGACGGAGGAGTATGGGGAGATGAGAAAAACACAGAAAGTGTGAGAGTTTGCCACAGAAGCAACTGGGCTAAGGAGGTAAGCATTTACAAACGGGAGGGACACACCCTTTGCCACTTCAACCCATTCCATTTCCTAAGAACTGTTTTGGTAGCAATAATTGAAAAAGGAACTCAGAGAAGCCATAGCAGAGGAGAGAGGGCAACACCATACTCTCACTGCTAAAAAATTCTGTACAGTAATCTCCAAAAATAAACTAAGGCAGCCGTATAAGTCAGCTGGCTCAGTACCCACTGCAGGGTTCCATATCCTCTGAGAATAGGCAACAGGTCCTTAGGATTTTAGTATAAAAATCATCCAGAAGTTGGCTAAAAAGTTTTCATTTCTTTTCTGAAAAAACAAAAAAAGAAACCTAAAACACGGGGGGGGGGGCACGCACCAACCAAATGGTTATCAAAGAAAGCAGGTTTAAAAAACAAATGAACACACCACATGTAAACACCTTTCTTGCATATGATGCTGCTCCAAAGTCCCAGGATCTGTACACTAATAAGAGAAGAGCCCTCCCTTGTTTACATTCACAACAAATGTCTACTGGAAATCCTGCCATGTGGAGAGGAGCAGAAAGGTTAAGTTCACATCGACACAGGGCAGTGTGTCCGCCACCCTCAGCACCTCTCTGGGACAGAGCCACTGGCTGCATCGTCATGGTGCCAGGAGACTGGAGGTGCTGGGATTCTGGTGGTCTGAACAAGACCGATGTCCACATTTATCCTGGTGGCGTGAAGATCCTGTCAATGCCTTCTCCATACTAGTCGGACGATGAAGCGTAACAGTTGTAAGATAACCATTTGAGGGTGGTGAGGGTGGTCTTCATCCTCTTGGTAATTATTTACCTGCAACAATACAAGCGGAGTTCTTAGTTACTCCCTAGTAATCTGGAGAGGGCATATTGAAAGCAAGAGATGCATCACACGGGAACTCAATCCATCTGCTCTGCCAGGGAGGGTGTGACATCACAGAGGACAAGCATACCAACTGAATTGTCCATTACTGAAAAAACAAAGGAATAGAAGACCATCAAGCTCCTCTGAAGGCATTCTGGAACTATAAACCTTCAGGTGTGTGCCGGACAAGAGCCATGCCAGGTTTTGGTGAAGTAGCCAAGGGTAGGAGCAGGGGCAGAGGAAAAGAAAGGATGAACTTGGGGTCCTTTACTACCAACCACTTTCACTGATATTTAGACATGCCCAGAACCCCTCAAAATGGATCTGCCCTAAGACGCTAAATAAAGTGGAACAGTGATGGGCCTCTTGCTGCACCAAAAGATAAACAGTGACCCAGAGGGGCTGCCTACTGTCGCAGACAAGGGGCTGAGTCAACCCTGCCATCCCACATCAGGCTGGGAAGAAAAGGGCATTTAAGAGCAAAGCCTCATTGCTTGTGACATATGTAGGTTTGTTACAATCTGAAGACTATTCAGAAGGAAGCCTCGGATTTACACGAGGAATTCCGAGCCCCATGCACCCTTCCAGAGTACCCACATCAGGGATCTAATCAGTCTCATTGGAGAATGAAAGGCAAGGGAATACATGTGCTCCATGCTATCAGCCACAACCTGGTTCAAATTCAAGTCTGAAGTAGGCCCTGGTCACTTCCTTAATGACTAACCCACAAAGGGACCTGGCTGTGTGACCACCCCCCCCACTTCACTTTGGTGGGAAGTGCTCCTAAGGACTGTCTGGGACTGACCATGAATCACACTAGGACTATCTGTCCCCTCTCAGACTCCAAAGGTCCCCCCAGACACCAGCTGCGAGGGAGCTCCCCCCTCCCCACTGTTTACATAGCTCTCAAGCTCAACGGGCCAGGGCATTTCCCCTTTCGTTCCATAACAAGATGGGAGGAAATCGGCTTTATGTCAGCGATTCCTGTGGAGGAGCCCCCGTGACCACAGGCTGCGATTTTATCAGCTCTGCACACAAGATTGCTTTGTTTTGATTTAACTTTCAAAATTACTTTGCTCCTTTTGTGTGAGAATAACTCAGGGGAAGGTTCATTTTGGCGAAGACGAATATTAATAGGTCGAAAGGCACTTATTCAAAATAGAACCGCAACTCACTAAAACAAAGAAAGCATGTGCTAGGGCTGACTAAGCCACCGATTCGAGGTGGGAAGACTTAAACAGATCTGGCGTCACTGCGGCCCTCTGCGTAACCAGACAGTGAGGATGACTGGGTACCCACAGTCATCACACCAAGGAAGGGTCACCCAAGGGATGGGCCTCCTCAACTGCTTACACTTGGTAAGCTTCCAGTTCTAGTCCTGACATCATCTGGGGAGGCATCGACTGGCTAGCCATGAGGACGGCAGGTGGACAGTGGTGGCTGTGGTCAAGGCTAATGAGAAGACATGTACAAAGGACACATAAAATCATGCCAGGTGGCATGGATGTGGGAATGTTGGAAGTTCTGGCAAAGGGAAGACCCAGGTCCTGGAGATGGTGGTGGTGACGGTGGTGCGCCGCCCTTTCAGGCCATGGTGTGACATCACGGCACGCGCCTCTAGCAAGTGAACAATTGCTTTTGGACACCATTCAACGGAGGAAGCCATTAGCACTGATTCAGAGTACAGTGCCAGTCCAGAAATCCCTTGACAGCTGGCACGGTGGCTGGAGCGGTGCCTCTGGCCCCCGGCACATGTGGCCCATACAACGGAAAACAGCTGGAGGACGGACGGCTCTAGTTTGCACCAGATTCAGCAATGAGGCTGCTGCAGGTGTGCCTCAGTCTGAGCGCGGCGCTGCTAACGTGCGGCAGGAGATTTAAGAGCTGAAGCAGAATGAAGACAAGAAGCCAGGACTTAATGCTTAGGACAAGGGCTCTCAAGAAGGAGCTCCTTGTGACACATACATGGGGACCCAAGGCTGAGCTTCAGTTTTCATCTGGTTTAAGGGTCAGGAGGGTTGAAAGGATCATGCAGACCTACCCATCTCTCCACCCCACCTCCCCAGGAGAACACCTGCAGAGAGGTCAGAGGAAGCACAGGCCCCTGGGCACTCTGGCCAGGACCCCATGTCTAGAGTGGAAAGTCAGTTCTGAAAACGACCATCATCTGCAGTGGGGTGGGGGGGGCAGTCATCAGCTAAATGCCAGTATTCAGGGGAGAAGCCACACACATGCTGCGAGGCCGCTCACAACTTATGCACAACTAGAAAGACAAGAGAACACGCAAAGGCGTGAGGGCATCAGATCTTTCTTCCTGGGCCTGCAGCTCTTGGCAGAGCCACCTTTTGGCCCGTGACCAGCGGGCCTGCATCAGTGACTCACACTCAGGCACTCCCAGGAGCATCTGTGTACCGAGGGTACACCGTTCAGTACCACACCTATGCCGCCCAGCATGAAACAGAATGCTTTTCCTGATTACAGCCACTTGAAGCAGAAAATAAAATACGACACTCAAAGAAGCCCTGCCTCCTTCCTGGCAAGCCCTCTATATGGGCCACAGCATCCCCCAAATTCTCAGGCTGCAGTTCTGGTCCCAGTACCTCAAAATGTGGTTGTCTATGGAGACAGGACCTTCAACCAGGTGATTAAGATGAATTCAATGGGTGGGGTGGGTGGGTGGGTAAGGTGTGACTATAGAGGCTGAGAGACAGCACTTGATGACATGGAGGACACAGCACATCAGGTCAGAGAAGGGTGTGAAGATGCCAGTGCTGTTGAGACTGATGTTGGACTTGTGGTCCCCAGAACTGTGTGGGGCGTGACTAACCTCTGCTGTTTACAGCACCCCGCCTGCGGCTCCGCTACTGCAGCTCTGGCCAACCTTTCACCCTACTGAATGATCAGTCTCAGTCCTTCACCCTCCAAGTGAAAACACTTCGTAGATGAACGTTTAGCCGCTGTTTCTGACTAAATGACAAAGATGCTTGGGAGAGCTAGCACACTGACGCAGTCGGGTGGAAGGCTGTTTAAAAGGCTTCAGAGACAGGCGGGTCCCTGAAAAGGTGCTAAGATGGGCCACTACTAAATGAAATGACTAAGGACAGGCTTTTAAGCCTTCTAAACAACCCCACAGGGCCAGTTTGACTCTCCTCAAGCTGCAACTGGCTGGAAGTAGCAGGACAAGAGGTGGCAAGGCCAGGACAGAGACCCTGGATCCCACACCTTCCTAGAAGGCGTGTCACCTAGGACTACGCATCCAAGCTCCCAGAATAGAGACGGATGATGCGGATACTGGCACGCCAGTGATAGGACAAAATTTCAGGGGTGACTCTAGTTAACACAGCTTTGCCTCCAAGCAGTATTTCATAGCTCAAGGCCACCTCCCTTTTGACTTCAAGGTTTCAGAGTGGGCTTTGTGGAGTGGGAATAGAGACCCTCCGAGTGATCGCAGCAACTCAGCTCAGACGTCTGCTAAAGTCCGGTACAAACGCTAGTCTCTACTGTAGAGCCCATGCTCAGCGTGACACACCATGTACACAGCAGACTTGAGGGGGCTCAGAGTGACAACCACATCACAATAAAATTAAAGGTTGATGAAGATTTAAAATCACAGCAAGGAGGAGACACCGTGAGACCTAGGGGTGAGATCTGTGGCAGCATAACCACACTTCAAGTCATGTTTCCTGGCAGTCAAGGTAACAGGGGTAAAAATGATGGTACTGGGGCTGGAAAAGCCGTCTCAGTGGTTAAAAACACTTATTACTCTTCTTGTGGCCCTGGGTTCTCCACACCCTCCTCAGATGGCTCATAACTGCCCCTAGGTTCAGTTACAGGGGCTCTAATGCCCTCTGTCCACTAGGGCACCTGTACATACAAGATGTACATAAACTCATGCAGACATATACATAAATAAAAGATAATACACCCTTTTAAAAAGTGACAGTACCCTATCCCAATTCTTAAAGATAAAGGCATCCCAGAATAGGCCCCCCCCAGGACTCTGAGATAGAGGAATTTGACTAGTTTGAAGTGTGTCTCACATAGAATGTCTACACTGAAGGACTCTGAGATAGAGGAATTTGACTAGTTTGAAGTGTGTCTCACATAGAATGTCCACACTGAAGGCTCCAGTTCTCCTCAACTTCTAACAGGTGTATATGCAGGCAGTCATTCGTAGGAAACTGAATTTAAACTCTGAGACCAGGAAGAACTCAGGTAGCCTCTGCTGCCAGCTCTGGCTCCGAAGAATGGGACGCCGTGTCCACCTGGATGGTGCACTGCTCCCCATCCCTACGGCTCAGAGTGAGCCATCCATCCCGGAGGCAGAGGGTACCCAGAACACAGCTGTACCACCTCTATGGGACCCGAATCCAACAATCAAAACAATGTTTACTAAAGCAACCCCAAGACCTTAGCTCCTCTCCACCTTTAGACAGAAAATCTGCTGAGAATTCCCTGTGGGTTCAATGCCCATTGCTGCCTTCAGGTCAGATGATGGCTGCCCAAAGGCCACAGTCACTTTCCATTTGTCACCAAAGGAACAGGAATAGGATAGCTTAGTGATCACAACAGCTGGAGAGAGGCACAGGAACCACCACTAGGATGCAAGGTCTCTGAACATAAGTGGAACAAATGTGTTCCCACCCCCAGACCCCAGCCCTGCAATCAGGCAGAGCTGTTACAGATTCATCACGGCTACGCTGGCTTCAAGTTGCATACAGGTTGCAGACGTTATCACAAACCAAACTTGTATTCTATCTCCTATGTAACATGTAACAGAAGCTGAAAAGTGAAGGTCTTTTATGGGGACGCAGAAACCACTTCACAGGTTGATTCACAGTGGGGGCTACTGGTCTAGCCATCCTGGCAGTAATGACACCCACTTCTACTTGATGGGGATCCTGCCAGGCAGGCCTCAGAACTGGTGCTGAGTCCTGCTCTATGGCCAG